TCTATCTATCTATCTATCTATCTATCTATCTATGTATCTATCTCTGTCTGTCTGTCTGTATATCTATCTACCTATCTATCTCTGTCTGTCTGTATATCTATCTATCTATCTATCTATCTATCTATCTATATATCTATCTATCTATCTCTGTCTGTCTGTCTATCTATCTATCTATCTCTGTCTGTCTATCTCTGTCTGTCTGTATATCTATCTGTCTGTCTGTCTGTCTATCTTTGTCTGTATATCTATCTATCTATCTATCTATCTATCTATCTATCTATCGTACAATGGGCGAAATTCTAACGATCATGAGATGACGATAGAGGTGACGTAGCGCTGGCATCAGAGCAGAATTTGAAACCGTGGAGCCGGTGGACAAGAGGCGAATCTACGAATCGAAGCCGATTTACCTCGGCATGGACTAGTTAGCCAGACAAGCGTTTACTCTGCGTTCAGCTTCTTTCAGAGTTTATTAGATAGTTTGTCCGCTGTTGTTCCCGTGAGAAGAGGAAGAGGGTGTCCGTTCTAAACTTTAGTGGAGTGATTTTGTCCTGCGTGAAACACAGCGCTGTCGGTCGGTCGGTCGGTCGGTCGGTCGGTCGGTGTGTATTTTTAACAAAATGAGGCGAATCTCTTTGTCCGTTTGTCTAAATAAAGGACAGAGTTTAATCTGGGAGTTTTAGCGTTATCTTTGAAAGCTAAATGAGCTAATCTGCGCTAGCTGGAAGCTCTTCGCATCGGTTATCGTGTTCAAACTCAACTGAACTCCACTAAAGCGACTTAATTTATTGTCAACTCTTTCTGAATAACCGCGAACTAAACTCTTACTAAAGCCTTTTCGCGTGAACACCGTGAAGAGGCCGGTGGCAGTGGGTGTTTTTTTCTCCTGGTAGTGAGTCTGAACATGAGCAAAGTGCTGGCTAAGTGATAATAAGCGGTCTGCAGATTGACTGGACACTTGCGGGACACTCGCTGGAGATGATGGCCCGGAGGAGGCTGGACAGTCGCAGTGGATCCTCGGCTCTGCTGTCAGAGATCCACACTCGCATCCACACGGATCCTCTGGACGCCGTGTTTGACATGAGCAACGAACTGGGCAGGTGTGTAAAATACTCCTCATTACCTTAAAGATGTCTTCTTTTAAGTGTTTCCATGTTTCATTTGATGTTGTCATAAAGTTTTTATGTATGTTGATGAACATTAAAGTGACTGCACACATGATGATGTAAATATTTGTCTGTAAATATGTATATGCATGGGTTTCTGTTCTGTCATATCTTGAAATTCTGTGATACTAAAGTACTGTCATTTTTAATGAAATAAAGTACTTGTCACTAGTAGTTTTAGGGAACTATAGCTTGTTTTTGTAGTTTCAATTTATTGCTCTACACATCATCTCATGTCTTTGAGTATGTGTTTATAGTTTGAATATTTATTATTACAATTTAGTATCAAATGATTCTTAAGATATCATTCTACAGTAGTCAACATTTGAAGTGGATCAGAAAAGTTCATCAAAGTTGTCCTAAGACAAGAACACATTTTGGTTTTAGGACAACTTTGATGAAAGGTTTTGATCCACTTCAAATGTTGACTAGTGTAATATGTCAGGTGCCCACAAAACTTTTCCTATTATTATCAATGTTGAGCACTGTTGTGCTGCTTAATATTTTAGTGGAAACTGTGTTTTTTGTTCTTAATTGTAATTTTTAATCAACTTAATACATCCTTGCTTTATAAAATGTACTTGTTATTTCATCTCATTGGGTATGTGCATATAGTTGTAATATTTACAGCATCATTACCATTAAGGGAATTGTTGTGGTCCCAAATCATAAGGCAAAATATGAACTGTAGGATAGATGTGTTCCTGGTTTATTTTGTTTATTTTTTGACAGAGTCAGTAGGACTGAAGGTTGTCTGGAGTATGGAGTCTGTCCTGCTTAGCTATTCAGGATTGGAAAGACCTTGCTCACTGAACTGTGACTAATATGTGTGTGTGTTTGTGTGTGTGTGTGTGTGTCTGCTAAAGCACTACAGCACGGCTTTGGATCTTGCAGGAAGGAAACCCATGTGGGAACCAGACCCAGTTTTGTGCTGTGCTGTAGATTGAACTGTGAATACTGAGAAAGAGGAAGTGACATTGGTCTCTTCCTCTTTCTCTCTCACCATTTGCATACAGCCTTATTCGGGTTGTTTTTATGCTGCTGGCTGTGTTGTTTAACAGGAAATTATTTCACAGTTCACTTATAGTTTTAACTCTTCAGTGCGAAGATGTTTTGTTGTTTGTTTCTGTGGAGGAAGGTGCAGTTCTGTGCAAATAAACTAGTAAATATGAGTGGGAATACCGTTAATTGTTACATGGTTTTCATGAGATGACGACATGCAAAGTTGTTCAGATAGAGCAGTTTCGTTTTGAATCGGGACCATAAGAATGGTTTTATTGGTGTTTACTTGCATTGGAAAATACCTTGAAATGTCAGGGATTTTTCCCTGGTCTGGGAGAGTCACAGAAATGGTTAAAATGCTAAGAAATCATGGAAATATCAGTATTGATTCTAGCCATACGCAGGGTTTTCGTTATCATATTGATATACACAATTCAAAACATTTGAGGTCTGTTTTTTTTAAATAAATAAATAGCTACTTCTAGCAAGCATGCATTAAATTAATCAAAAGTGACAGTAAAGATGTTACAAAGGATTTCAAATAAATGCTGTTTTTCAGAACTTTCTAATCATCAAAGAATCCTGAAAAAAGTGTCATGGTTTTCACAAAAATATCAAGTAGCTGTTTAGCTGCTGTGTTCAACATTAATAATTAGATGAAATGTTGCTCAAATCAGCATATTAAAATGATTTTTAAAGGATATGATACTAAAGATTGGGGTAATGGTTGTTGCATATTAAAATATACTGAAATAGAAAACAGTTGTGATTTAATATTTCCCAATATTACAGTTTTTTTTTTTAGCTTGGTTAGTACATAAGTCTATTTCACAAACTTTTGATATTAGGTAGTATATACTTTTTTATAGTTTTGATTTTGACTCTGCTTTGACCTTTTTTTTTTTTGACTTTTCCAAGATCTAAATGGATACAGTATGTGCGGTATACAGTACAGCACAGTATGATACATCCTAACATAATATATTATAACAAAATCTGTTTACAGTCTGGTCCAAAGAATTGTGGGATTGATTTTGAGTATATGCTTATATCCTAATGTCTCACCTGTTCATGTTGTGACAGTAATTGCAGTTTTTACAGTAAAGACTGGCCCACATCAGTCATCTAACCTGATATTAAGCTGTGAGAACATCTAATGGAGGGTTTGAATCATTTAATAACCATCTGTGTCAGTAAGAGCTTTAGTGTGAAACTGTGAATGAGAGAACTGCTTTAGGTGTGACTGATTGAATGCAAACTGTGACATCTTTAAAGTGCATCATAAAAAAAAGATATTAGAACTTAAGGTACTTTATTTATAACTTAAAAATTTCCAATTGACACATTCTGCCTCCATTATGCTCATTTGTGACCCTGGACCACAAAACCAGTCTTAAGTCGCTGGGGTATGTTTGTAGCAATAGCCAAAAATACATTGTATGGGTCAAAATGATTGATTTTTCTTTTATGCCAAAAATCATTAGGATATTAAGTAAAGAACATGTTCCATGAAGATATTTTGTAAATTTCCTACTGTAAATATATTAAAACTTAATTTTTGATTAGTAATATGCATTGCTAAGAACTTCATTTGCATCCTCAGATTCCAGATTTCAAATAGTTGTATCTCAGCCTAATATTGTCCTATCCTAACAAACTATACATCAATGGAAAGCTTATGTATTCAGCTTTCATATGATGTATAAATCTCAATTTTGAAAAATTGACCCTTATGACTGGTTTTGTGGTCCAGGGTCACATTTTATTCTTTCTCTATATTTTTTCTATTTCTGTTTGTCTTCCTCAGGGGGAAGTTTGCAGTGGTGAAGAGGTGTGCGGAAAAGGCCACAGGGAAAGTCTTCGCTGCAAAGTTCATCAAGAAGCGGCGACGAGGTCGCGACTGCAGGGCGGAGGTCATTCATGAGATCGCTGTTTTAGAGGCAGCAAAGAACAATCCTCGTGTGGTGAACCTGCACTCTGTATATGAGACCGATCATGACCTCGTTCTAATGCTGGAATAGTGAGTGATGTGATTTGATATATAAATTGTACGCCCAGTTCACGGAACAATTGTTGAGCTCAGTACTAAGAATAACTGTGAATGTGTTTGTGCGCCAGTGCGGCGGGTGGTGAGATATTTGACCACTGTGTGTCAGAGGAGCTGCTGCCCGAAGGTCAGATCACCCGTCTGATCCGACAGATGCTTGAGGGAATTCACCTACTGCACCAGAGCAGCGTGGTCCACCTGGACTTGAAGGTCAGATGCACGGCTGCCTTCAACACCTTCATTGGACACATTTTGAATTAGATGATCTATATTTCTTCTAAAGTTTTATTTATTATTGAGACAATGTTTTTCTTTCATTCAGCCCCAGAATATTCTCCTGACGAGTCTGAGCCCATTGGGGGATATAAAGATAGTGGATTTTGGCTTGGCCCGCAGGTTGGGCTCTGCTGGGGAGCTCAGAGAGATTCTGGGAACCCCTGAGTATGTCGGTAAGGTTTATTCAGTGCCATTCATCTTCAAATTCACACATATCTCTGTATTCATGGGCTCATCACAACAGAAGAGTTCATGCTCAGTGAAAATGATGTATATAGTGATTTTTGTTTGTTTGTTTGTTTTAATGATATATCCAGCCCCTGAGATCTTGAACTATGAACCAATCACCACAGCAACAGACCTCTGGTGAGTCTTAATCTTTTTCATCAGGTGTTTCAATATACAAGGTTCTCCAGGGTCATATCCAGACCTGGAAAAGTCATGGGACATTAATAAAATTGTAGAAGGTCATGGAAATTCCAATGGTCATTAGACAGTTTTCTATTTATACTCATAGTTCATGGACAACTCTGAATGTAGTGAAAAGTCTGGCCATCACATGCTTATACCATATTCTGCTAAGTAAAGAAACAAAATATACTACTGTTCAAAAGTTTGGCGTCAGTAAAAATATTTTTAAACGTTTTTAAAGATTTCTCTTGTGCTCCCCAAGGCTGTATTTAAAAATACAGTGAAACCATTATTATTGTGAAATATTATTACAAATGTTTTAAAAATATATTTATTTGAATATATTTTAAAATGTACTTTATTCCTGTGATGGCAAATCTGAATTTTCATCAGCCATTACTCTAGTCTTCAGTGTCACACGATCCTTCAGAAGTCATTCTAATATGCTGCTTTGGTGCTCAAAAACATTTCTTATTAACATCAATGTTGCTTAATTTTATTCAAAATGAGCTAGAATGTGGTAAGCTAAAATGTGCCTCGAAACCATCTGAAACCAGCCAATAGACCAGCATGATCAGGCAGGGAGATGCGAGACTAGAAAACCAGCTGAGGTAGCAGCAGGATGGTCTGATACTAGAGGCAAAACACTTTGTGCTAACAAGGGATATTTCATGTTTGGTGTCATATGTTGTTGTTTAAGCTGGTTTTTAACTGATTGTGTGTCTGTTGATATTAGGAGTGTGGGCGTGATCACCTATATGCTGGTGACAGGAGAGTCTCCCTTCGCTGGCGAGGATAAACAGGAGACCTTCCTAAATGTATCCCAGGTGAACGTGGACTACAGCAGAGAGGCTTTCTCAAGAGTGTCTGAACTGGCTGTCGACTTCGTCCAGAAACTGCTGGTCAAAGCACCGGAGTGAGTCTGCCCTTGCGATTCTGATTTCAGACAGTTAGAGGAAGTGAAGCTTGTTTGCCAAGCTCAGTGCTGCGCAATATAATGTACGCTAGTGCTTCTAGATGAAGAGTCATATGATAAGTGCTATGGGAAACTCTTTCCCACTTACAGAGCGGTAATTATTCAGGGTCATACAAATTTTATTATGCAGAACATAGTTTCAGAAATGAAGTAATTTCAGCAGGCTTACAAATTAACTTGTCCAATGATCACTCTTATATGGCTCAAAGTACTTCCAGAATATTGACTTTCCCCATTGCCATAGATTGTATAACTATTGGTTATCACAAAGTATAAAGTCCAGGTTTCATTTTCTTTTCATTTGTCTTCAGACATTCACACATTTGCAGAAAACATTTAAGCCTGAGAGCAACTGAGATTAAATGAGGTCAGACTGTTAAGCAAAAATGGCAGCAAAAAGTTTGGTATGGTAGATTTCCACTTGCTGTCATAAACTAATTAATGTACTTTGGTTTTATTACTACTCTTTACTGTTTCAGCATAATAGTATCAGAATGTTTTCCATTCAGCCACATATCAAAGTCCTTTACGTGAATTCTCCCCTGCTTTATCAGGGATCGTCCCAGTGCAGCCGATTGCATGACCCATCCCTGGCTGTGGCTCCATTGTCCAGGTTCTGATCCGATCCCCGTGACCCCACGCACTCCCCGGGAAAGGAGTTTCGGTGGGAAGTGGTCTGCGCCACCTGAGGATCCCGAAGACAAAGAGAACATTCTGGACTCACCGCACGCCAAGAGGTTTCGTTTTGAGGAGGGCATGTCAGCCACGGGCGACGGAGACCACTTGTGCTGATCCGAAAGGGAAACGCACTTGCACCGAATAGCATATTTGGTCCGTTTTGTTGGCCCCCACACAGCACCAGCAAACACGCTTCTGTCCTAATGCTGTTTTCAATATCCTTTGGCCAACCAAAGATGATTTTATTTTACAAAAGGGCCCAATCTAGTGTAATGTTAATATTATAATAGTGAGAATCTAAATATCTATGTTGCTGTCCTGTCTCAAGATGCCTTTTCCTGCCATCTTTGGATTTTAAATGATTCATTTGAATATTTTAATTGCCATTCAGTATCGATTTAATTTTCTGCTGATCTCAGCCCATGTTAATCTCAACACTATTTCCATTACTGCACTTTGAAAAAGACAGACGCTCGAGAGCTTTAATTCTGCTTTAATGAAGGATGAGAGTGTCTGAGCACACTAAAGAGTCTCTTTGCTCTTTGTGTCTCAACATCAGAAAGAGTTTGTATGATTAGACTCTGTTAATTCAAAAACACCTAGTGCGATGGTCTGTTAGAAAGGTTCAGTGCAGGAATGCTCTCGGTGAATGGCTGTGTGTTTTGTCTTACATTCTCTTCTTTCTTGTGGCATTGACACATAAGTGGGCTCCATAAAAATGTGACTCAACTCAAACACGCACAACACACCCTGGATTACACAAATATGTGTTTGTATTGGTCACAGATCTTCCTCTTAGATAATGACTAAAGGAATGCAGGAAAGCACTTAAACCTTCTATTATATGTGTTTGTGTCACTGAAATAAGGGAAAATATTTTTAACCACTTTAAATGTAGTAAATCAACTGTATCTGTTTTAAAATGATTTTTGTTTTAAATATTTCCTTTTTTATTGCCAATTTATTGTAAAATAAACTATTATTAAGCAACATTCTAGCATTTCCCCATGGCAGGCGCTTAGTATCTCAATGCCTGTTATGGTCTATGATACACATAATCTTGAAATGACAGTTTTTATCTATGCACCAATCTGAGGTAACAAAGGGTTTTGTTACCTTTTTTTGTACAGGTGTTTCTAAGCTAATGCTATTAACTGATGGAGGTTTCAGTCTTCGTTCATTCCGAGTCTTGTTCTCAGGGTTAGCTGTAACTGCACAGTTTACCAGTGTATATTTCTCGAGTGCCTTTGTGTGCATTTTGTTCTATGCTTGAGCCGAACAACCCGACTTGATCTTCTGTAATACCGGTGCAGCACATTTCTGTGGATATATTATTGTTAATGTTTATCCTGTTTTAATTGAGATACTGGTAGACCCTTTAAACTGATGGCCTGTTGTATTTAACTTAAATTATTTCTGTGTGCTTTTGGTCATGGAGATGTATTTGTATTCAGTGGGATTTAGAAAGGAAAACAGTTATAAGTTATATTTATGGTCTTGGATTATGTAGGGCATGAAAAGATGGGTTATCAAAGTTGGCTGTTATTGTCAAAATTATATGGTTATGTTCGGATGGTGAAGTATGTTTGGCTGTGATGAAAGTACAGGGTTTGAATTCTGGAATGAAGGCAAATGAATGTTAGAATATTGCACATCTGCACATCAGAAAGTGTGTAGTAATGCAACAAATACAACTAGATCAGCTTAAGGTTTATTGGTGTACTATTTTGTTGAGTGGCTGTTAGAACTGGAAATGTTAGTATTGCAGAATTCAGTCTTAAGGTCGAGCCCTTCGGTTATTGTTCTCTGTTTAAAGAGGTGTGAAGAGCTCATGTGTGTTTGTGTGCTCAGGGCCTTACGGTTTCCCAGAGATGTCACCAGTCTGCAATCATAATAGGGCTATTGTCTCCTAAGACGAGAGGCTCTTGTCACAGTCGTGTGCTCACTGTATGCCGTCATCTTAAAGGAAAACTTGAATCTATTCCTTGCCTGGGAAACAGCCTCAATAATGTTTAAGGGCCATGAGGTGTTTGAAGCTGGAATTCAATAGAGAATAGACCAGGCTTTGGAGAGCATTTCTGAGCAGTCACTGTGGCATTTGCAGAAAGCTTGCGACAAACTTTGTAAGGACACTTAAGGGATAAACTTTCTTGATTCTCTTTCTATCTTAGGCAGGATTAGTGAAAACTGATAATTGAAGATACTTCATTTCATGATGAAAACTGTGTATTTTGAGTTATATGTGCTAGAATAAATGATGTTCAAATTCTAATAAAGCCATTGACAGTCTAGAGTTGTAAAGGATGTACCCTTAATATATTATGTATGTTGTTGATTTATGACTCATAATAAACATGTTCAATTTTGTTTTTAAAATAAGACATCCCCCATACAACGCCATTGATTTATTTAAAATTTCCTAGCTCTGACATGTCAGACTTTAATAAATTCTTATACTTCTGAAATGCGTCATCTGACTATTTTTTCCCTCAAATTATAAAAATAAGTAATGATAATAATAAAAATGTTGTTAAGCAAATTGCCTTTCACTAAGTTCAGGGATATAGAGTATTTATCTATCTATATCCAAGGATAAAGAGTAGGATAAAGAGTATTTTTATGCTTTTTAAACTAATCAATCACACACACACACACACACATATATATA